TGGTTTGAGCTCTACTTAAGCCAGCTGATGGTGTCACCTGCAACTAAGCTGGTCAAATTGCCGGTGGCTGGTTTTAGAATGTATAGCACGTCAAGTATTTCAACAGCCAGCCGGCTTGTAGTGAAGTCTGCTGGTCAAGTCAAAATGACCACAGATGTCATGTTGGCTTGCTGCAGCAGGTGCTCCGTCCCCGCCAAGCCCTCTGTGGCAGTGTTGGACAGTGGGTTGCTGCTGCTGCTCGCTGTATGTGCTTATGCGTCTGAACTGGGCTTCAAAGGGTTTTTCAGAAGCAAATGTTTCTGGGTAGAACATCAGCGCTTCAGAAAGAACCTCTGTGGAACCCTTATTTCGTAGAGTGTGGCACTGATTTCTGTTTTTTGTTTGTTTTCCTTGTCATTTGTCTTGTTCGGTACAGTAGGCAGGTAATGAGGCCTGGAAGAGAAATCAGAGGCAATAAAAGCTGAAAGGAAAAGCCAGTAAGCTTGTTGATCAGCAGCACTGTGATACTGCTGTGTAGGAGCGAATTCACAATAGGCCATTTAAGTGACGGAAATGAATATGAATGAATTTCAATGTCATACAGTTTGTTTCATATTTTTGGCCATTCTTATTAGTAATGAAATTGTAGTCACCAGGTTAATAGCTAAGATCTGGAAATAAAAAGAAGCCCAACAGGGCAACAAACACAGGCAATCAGATGATCAGACATGGTATACCTCCCAATTGATCAGTCTCAGGAAGAGAAAAAGAGGCGAATGGTAAATCCATAACCAAAACCATCAGACTGACTTCCTTGATGAATTTCACCCAACATAAGAAAACACATGAGGAAAAGATGGTGCGTGAGTTGAAAGGGACAGGTACATGCCGCTGTTTTAAACACACTGTAACATTAGTTATGTAATTAGGCCCGTTGATTTGACCCACTTACCAACACATTGAGCAGCTGGAGCAGCAACCGTGTCTGTGTGACACAGCTGGAGGCAAATAAACTCTGAGAGCCTGGTTGCCGCAAATTGCGCCAAATATTGTACTTCTTCTCAGGATCATAACTACAATCTGAACACGCACCATGGTACACATATTTCAGTTAGGAAACTTTGTCAAAGAACACTTTATTTCCATTGCAGTATTACATTTGGCCGTATGACTATGTTCTAGGGCCTCTCTGCCCTTCCATGCGCCTACATGGAAAGCCTAAGGCAGGGAGAGCAGCAGCAAAGACCTCCAGGAGGACAGAACAGAGCAGCATCAATGACAAACAGAAATGACATTGATAAGTCAGACGCAGCATGAAAAGGAGGAGCTGGGGTGGAGGCAGGTTGCAAAGCAACTTGCAGAGGAAGCAGCAACAGTAGGCAGGCCAGAGCTGAATGAGATTCAGCAATTGGTTGCATAGAAAGGAATCATGTGATCTGACTCCTTTCCATCAATCAGCTGCACCGTCAGTTGATTGGGCTGTTTGAGATCAGCTGATGTAGCTGGGATGTGAGCTGAGCTTCACTTCGTGTCCTGACTGAACTAATGCTATGCTCAATTTTAGGCTTCAATGTGAAACGCTTTCAAGAGGGTTATTCCTGTTGCAAATAAATGTCCATAAATCTACATAGAAATCCTATAAAAGATGTTGCTCATACTTAAGTTAGCATAACAGTGCCAATTTAAAAAATGTAAACAAATGTAGGCTAAAAAAAGCAGGGCTCAAGTTGCAGCACACACTCAGTAACTGGATCTGTGGCAACATTATACTTCCTGTTTACATCCCTAAAGCCTCCAGATCATGGGATCTGTAGTTCCAAAACTTCAAGTATGATTATCCACCGAAGAAGCATAATATAAGTGACGAATTCATTGACATAAACATTTCTGATGTTGCACTATTAATATTTACTGAAGCTCCTTTGAACTGTTGTACAATGGAGGGTGTTGGTACAAACTTGGGACTTGTAGTCCTGTCCCTCTGAACTCCTTTAACCTTTGTAAATCTGTGTGCAGCTGCAGAAATAGACCATGTGTTTGTCGTGGTTCAGAGAATAGTCCTCTTGCAACGTAGGCAAATTTATACATTTCCCATCCTCATAGGTGGGAGGGTTTGCAGAGGTCAGTGTGACAGGTGCACCGTGGATGGTTTATTGTGAAGGCTACACAGAATACACTTTTCCAGAATCTGTTATGCTGCATTCACTTAAAACAATGTGGACATCAGAGGATCCAGGATCCTAATCTGGGACACAGCTAGAGTCAGTAGATCTGACCGTGCTCAGCTCACCCCAGTGTTAGGTCATCATCACCTGAGGTCAGATGATGCACATGCTTCATTCAGTCAACACACGAGAGAAATATCTACTTTTAGCTTGTTTATATTGCATGATATTTCATGCATGTTTAGCAGGGCAGCAGCATCATCCAGACTCGTAGTATTTTGTCTCTGGTCACGCTTAAAAAGCAGGTCTGAAAATAATCCACTTCTCCTACAAACTCCAAGTGTTCAATTTACTCTACTGAATTCCTTTGTACTCTGAGTGTTTTTATTTTCTGTCGGACCCATTCAAGCAAAACTATCGAATAAATAGACTGAAGATTACTATTGATTTTTTTCTCAAACTTGGCACAACACAAGGAGCACTCTCATCAGCTGAGTCCCATCTTTTGCTTGTTGATATAGAAGATCTCATACAGACATCACCACCTGTATCTTTATGTGACACTGTACGGAAGCCATTATGGATCCAAAGACCCCTGAGAGTAAAGTTAGCAATAGGTTTTTGTTCAGGAACACCCCAGCAGGTGTGTAAACGTTGATACTGATGAGACAAAATGTTCTTTGCATTGATTTTAAGGTTCTAGGTTCACAGTTCACCTTCACAGATGTCTCAGAAATTAGTTTTTGTTTGTGTCCTGTTCTCATTTTTCCATCCAAACTGTCCGCATCCTCTCTTGGTATGGTAGCCAGGGCAACAGGACGAGTTGTGCTTTCATTATAAGCTATTTCTGCCCCATCAGATGATGTTTGACAGTCGAGATTGACCAAGACAGATGGGGAGAAACAGAAAAGATAAATGAGACGGAGGATGGCGCAGCAGGCTGGTGAAGCTCATTTGTGTTTTAACCTGTTACTCCTAAAAACCCATCAAGAACAGTGTTGAATCTTTTCTCTCTAATGGGTCTTTTAACACGTAGAATAGTCGTGTTTGCCTTCAGGCATAGAAATCAGTTGACACAGAGGACAGGTATGGCTTCAGTGAACCGTGCAGGAGCAAAGGACGCAGACTCGCAGGGTTCTGAGGAAAACAAAGTCCTTTACCACTAAATCTCAAGGACATTTTCCTCTCAGTGTTTTGAGATAAAATATATGTCTGTTTTCTAAACAAGTATCAGTCATTTCAGTTTACAGGATATCTGACCAGAGTGGGTGGAATTTGTTCCTTGTACTGTCTGTAAAACACCCAGTACACAGTGTCAGCAGTGTTGCATACAGTATAGACAGGTGTATAACACATCACTCAGTAAATGATAATCACAGTATGTAGTTGATCAGCGAAAGCTGTTTATTTAGGAACATGACGCAGAGATGCAACGGTATATTCACCAGAACTGGAAATTAGAATCCACAAGGCTTTATTACAGAAGTAAAAAGGCTGCTTTTATATTTATTTTTCTTCAGAAGTTGGCAGAAGTATTGGGTGAGATGAGTTAGATATGGCCTCTTTTGATTATGCATCTGTTGGACAGTGATTCCATCAGTTTCGTTTACATTAATTGATTCCTTTATTTTGCTAATTGCTAATTTAACAATCGATTAATGATTTTTAGTTTTTTTCTAATGAAAAAAAGTCACAATTCTCTGATCCAGCTTCTGACATGTGATTTTTTTTCTTGTGTTTAAACTGAATTTCTGTCCGGACCACTTTAGTCGAAGAAAACTAAATTTCCATTTGCAGTATTACATTTTTTGATATGGCTCTGTTCTGGGGCCTCTCTGTCTTTCCTGGGCCTACACAGAAAGCCTCTACCATGTGCCTATGTGGAAGGCCTCAAGGCAGATAGAGCACACCTCCCTTCCCTTCCATGCGCCTACATGGAAAGCCTGAGGCAGAGAGAGCACACCTCCCTGCCCTTCCATGTGCCTACATGGAAAGCCTAAGGCAGGGAGAGCAGCAGCAAAGACTCCTGGGAACAGAACAGAGCAGCATCAATGACAAACAGAAATGACATTGATAAGTCAGACACAGCATGAAAAGAGCTGGTGGTGGAGGCATGTAAAATGGTCGCTATCAGTTTTATATAGCATGGCTCAGGGTAAACCCTTTGAAAAACATGAACAAATACATACAGAGAATAAATGCCACAGAACTCCCTTTTATTTGAATTGACATTTTGATAACAGCTAACATTGCACTATTTACTGGAAAGCAATTCTTCTTCGCTGTTCTAAAACAGTAGTTAACAGTGGCTGCAGAGCACAACTTGCTGTGTACACTACTGTTTTAGAGCACAGAAGAAGAATTGATTACCATTTAAACTGCTTTTTTTGCAAGTGTGAAACTACTTAAAGTTTATTGATAAAGCATCTGGTATTAGTTTGGTGCATAGCTGTGAGTATTTGCTGATAGCTGATGCAGCATTTTGGGCAGTATTGGAGGCATCTCTGATACTGTGTTTTTTTTGTGTGTGGGGATGATGTTTCAGTTGGTTTTCACTTTGAATTTCTTGAGTCGTCTGAGAACTGATGATACTCCATTTGAGTGTGTTGCTGTCTGCAGAGAAATGAAAAATAAGTCCGTTATGATTATGGCTTCACCTGAGATTTGTGATTGTGAGATTAGTGTCGGTCAAGTCAAGGATGACTTTCTAGATTTTGGTGTATTAAGCTAGAGCTCGTTGTTGGGAGCACTTGGACTACCTGCTTCAATACCTGTGTGTGTTGTTGAATCAGGTAAGAGGTATATTCTTCATAATATATTTGCATGATTTCTAATTCAAATCACCTCTCTTTCCAGTAAAATCTGACAAGACCGAGAAGGCCGAGAAGAAGGAGGAGAAGCAGGAGGACAACGTAAAGAACGTGGACCTGTTTGACCCTCTGGATAAACCTGAGCAGAAGAGCGTGACGGTGGAATACGCAATCAGTGAGACTCCAGCCAAGGTGGAGAAGGAGATAGAGAAGGAGAAGGAGAAGCAGACAGAAACAGAAAAAGAGAAGGAGAAGGAGGCAGAGACAGAAAAAGAGAAGGAGAAGCAGACAGAGACACAAACAGAGAAGGAGAAGGAGGCAGAAAAGGTGAAGGAGAAGGAGAACGAGAAAGAGATGAAAGATGCAGAAAAAGTTAGAGAGGAGAAAGTGACGGAGAAAGTAAAGGTGACGGAGGCACAGGTAGAGAAGGTGGAAGAAAAAAAGGAGACAGAAAAGGAGAAGGAGAAAGTGGAGTCAGTGCAGCAGAAAGCAGAGAAGGAGGATAAAATGATCAAGGTAGAAGAATCACCTGATAAATCAGTGAAGACAGATAAAATAGACAAGATGGAGAAAGCAGAAAAAGTGGAGATGAAAGAAGAAGTCACCAGCAAAGTGGAGACAACAGAGAAAGTAGAAAAAGTGGAGATCAAAGAAGAAGTCACCAGCAAAGTGGAGACAACAGAGAAAGTAGAAAAAGTGGAGATCAAAGAAGAAGTCACCAGCAAAGTGGAGACAACAGAGAATGTGGAAAAAGTGGACAAAAATGAGAAGCCCAAAGTGGAAGAAATAATTGAGAACAAAAACACTGAGAAGCTCGAGAAGACAGAGATAAAGGATGACAAAGAGCAGCACGTGGACAAAGATGAAAAGACTCCAGAGCCCCAGCTGACACCCTTCAAGCTCGATGCCAGTTCTGACAAGCTGGAGCAGAAGGCCGACGTGGAGGCAAAGACGACACCAGAAGCGGAAGACACCAAGATAGAGACGGCCGACACAGACAAAGACAAGGACAAGAAGGTGGAGAAAGATGACGAGGTGGAGAAAGTGCCTGAGAAGCCGGCGGAGAAACCAACGCAGAAGAGCGATAAGGAAGAGAAGCAGGACAAAGTGCAGGGCAGCAAAAAGACTGTGGAGAAAAAGGACGACAAGAAGGACAAGGCTGCAAAAGCAGACGGAGGAGAGAAGGCCAAGAAGGCAAAACCTGCAACTAATGGAAGCAGCGCCCCTCTGAGCAGAGACATGGCAAGTGCAGAGAAGAAGACTAAGGTAGGACTCACTGTAAGCTTTGAGGATGTGATGTTTCACCACACACACTGACATGCTGATGGGATTCTTAAAATCTATCCTGAAAACAAACATGGGTCAGACTGTTGCATTAGTATCACATTAGACTGAAACCTGCCTCATAGTGTAAGACACACTCACTCAGGTCCATTTCCAACATGAAACTCAAGGTAAGTTCAAGGTTATTTTTTTATTGCAGACAGTATAGTAGGGTGAGTTTAACTTTAAAGGGATAGTGCACCCAAAAATGAAAATTCAGCCTAATGGAGGCTGACGGCGCCCCAGATTCAAACGTCCAAAAACACATAATTGAAACCACAAAATATCTCCATACTGCTCGTTCGTAGTGATCCACGCACAAGCACGCACATGTGAGCTCGATGTACACAGAGAGACAGTCAGAGCTACAGGCTACAATGAGGCTAAAAACAGAGTTCAAATGACATTTTTCCAAACAGCTTTTTATGTCGGGGCTTCAGGACACTTGGATCACTACAGACGAGCAGTATGGAGATATTTAGTGGTATCAATAATATGTTTTTGGACGTTTGAATCTGGGGCGCCGTCAGCCTCCATTAAGTGGAGTTGTGTTGCTACCTCCTCTCCCCTTGGATCTCAAAAAGTGTTGTGAGGACTCTAAAACTTCGCCTGAGCCTCCCTCAGCATATGGGTGAGTAGATAATGGCAGAATTTTCATTTTTGGGTGCACTATCCCTTTAATACATGACACACTATGACGCACAGACCAGTGTGACACCTGGCACATCTCTTATTCCAATATAACATTCTTTATTTCCCAAACTTTTCTCTGCTGTCTCGCCTTAGTCAAGGTGGTGTCTGAGATTCCTGGAAAAGTTATAAAATCAGAAAAAAACTGAATGTTGGAAAGTTTTGAATAGACACTGTTTTGGCCATTGTTCAAAATGTGTTCATAAAAATCCCAAACCATACCTAACATTAAGCGAAATATGTTCCTTGTAATGCTCATTCATGATCTCGTGCTGCGCTGCATGACTGTTGACAAGACACTAGTATACACGTAGACCAGACCGGCATTGCATCATCACTATGGCCTCGTTTTGGCGAAAAGGATCCTACACACTAGACATTTAAGTCACATTAGTAGTTCATGGACTGTGTAAAAAGAAGCTAGGAACAACCTCAGATACCACGTTAATGAAGGCAGTGTAGCTGAGAACATTTGGGGAATAAGGCATGATACACTGGAGGAGAGTTGTGTGAGCTGTAACATGTTGAGGGTGAGTTTAAATGACAGAAGGAGCCATTCATCACGCATCACGCTGAAGCTTCTGCTACTGCTTCCTTTATGCCTTCTGTATATATGAACACCTTGTTCAGAGCTACTTCAAGTCATAAACTATTAACGTAGGAACAACAGACCCAATGCTGATTTTTATTTGACTGTTTTTATATGATTTATTATGATGCTGCTTGTGCTGCTTGTGCTGCTTAACCTCCCCCGCCGTTATCATCCATTTTCCTTATTTGTTTTCTTTCCTTTGCCTCCCCTCCTTATTTTGCCCTCCATCGTTCCCGTACATGTCGCAGCCTGTTGCCGGGGCGACCAAACCGAGCGCTGCTGCTAAAACGCGGCCGACTGCCGCAGCTGCAGGTGGTTCAGTCACAGCACCTACTAAGCGCCTCACATCCTCCACCACCACCACCCTCTCAGACAAAAAAACAGCCACAACCAAGACACCATCATCAGCTGCCGCTGGTCCGAAGCGGCCAGCCACCACTTCCACCAGCCGCCCCACATCCTCCTCCACCACCACTGCACGGGATGTCAGGCCCAAGGTGAGTTTCAGCCGGACGTCTGTTAAAGGCTGCAGAAATACTCAGTTACACACAACAAGGATTTCACCAACATTCATCCTGATCAAACGAGACACTGTTATATGTCTCTCTCTTTTTAATTTGGGACTCCCAACTTCCTGACCATCTGGTCTCGTGCCTGTTAGCATGCACAGACTCACAGTACATTATAACACTCTGATGAATCTTGGTGAGAGCGTGCAGCTTTAAAGTCGACAGTACAAGCTGTATATGTCGTCAAACCTTGGAAACATATTCTTTAAAGAGCGAACACTCAACAGGAGTTGGTTTTGGTGACAGTACTCACCTCAGAAATAGGAGCACTTTCTAAAGGAACATCTTTTACAGCTGGTTTATAAGTTGTAGCTAATGTTTATATAATGACAAAAACTCTGTCTGTGTGTCTGTTCCACGTTTTTCTGCTCACTGACTTGGTCAATCCATGTGAAATTTGGCACAGTGGTAGAGGGTCATGGGAGGATGCCAATGAAGCAATATTACATCAATTGGCCAAAGGGGGGCGCTATAGCAACCGATTGAAATGTCAAACTTTGAATGGGCATATCTCATGACCCGTATGTCGTAGAGACATGAAACTTTGCACAGAGATGCCTCACCTCATGAGGAACACATTTGCCTCAAGAACCCATAACTTCCGCTTATATAGATTTTCCGCCATTTTGAATTTTTTGAAAAACACTTCAAATGGATCTCTTCCTAGGAAGTTTGAGCGATCTGCATGAAACTGGGTGAACATAATCTAGGGACCAATATCTAAAGTTCCCTCTTGGCAAAAGTTGGAAAACTTACTAAAACTGAGCTTCTATAAGGCAATGAATATTGCGGAGGGCGTGGCTCATCACATAAAGGTGTATAACATCTCAAGGGTTTCACCCATCACCACGCAACTTTGTAGGCATATGACCACACATAATCTGAGGGGACCCCTCCATTATTGACCCCATCAAACAAAATGGGGGCGCTAGAGAGCTCATTTCTTATCTAGGCCTAACCGCCATATGGATTTTTACTAAACTTGGTAGATATGTAGAACAGGACGCCTCAAGGTGACTGGAGAAATTTAACTCTAATTGGCAACTGGGTGGCGCTATAACAACAGAAAAATGCTTCAAAATGGCTAAAATGCGACCGATCGCTGTGGCTCCCCCTGTGGACCAATGTTGGTGTTGTTTTCTAATATTTGGTATGACTAAGTCATGGTATGGTATGCTGTACTCAATGGGTATGGACTAGTAAGCTATTAATAATATATTTTGTGTTGAAGGAACATTTTGTTGGTGTTTTATTCACCTTTTGCTCGACACACAAACTTGAAACAACAAACGTTACGAACGCATTAATGAATGGTCATTAGTCTCTCACTTTCTATTAACGCCCTCAAGTATGCAATTAAGTGTTAATAAGTATGACAATAATCTATTAAGTGATGATCTGAAGAACATGTCATGGTGGGGAGGATAACACCAGCCAAAAGAAGTTTCACAACCCAGATTGTTGTTCATATTAATGGTTTTTGACTGATCTATAAATCAGCAGTAAATGTTGTTACTGAAGATTGATTCTTGACCTTGGAAACAGTCGTTGATAAAAAAAAATTGTGTCATAAAGTCTGTTTACCAGCTTCTGGAGCTTTCAGTCATATCACTTTTATAATTATGATTTTTGTCTGGTCGTTTTATTAACTTTTATTGTATATTATTGAATTGTTTGATTTTATGATCTATGGATAAATTGCTGCTTGTTTTGTCTTACTGTGTAATGTAAGGTGTCCTTGAGTGCTTGTCCTTGAAAGGCGCCTATAAATGAAATGCATTATTTTTATTATTATCACCTGGTTTTAAAGGGTAGCGACGCGTTTCTGTGTCTAACTGACTAATGGAATAGCAATTTTTGAAACTGGTCTGGTGCTGAGCAACAGGGCTGCAGCTGGCAGCAGCGAAACAGGCTGAAGTGTAACCACTCAGGGCATGTATGTCAATGTAAGCCCACCTAAAGTGTTTGTTTTTGCCACTGACAGATTATTATAAATGTCTGACAACAATGTGGAAAGGATCTTTACAGAGACAGACCTTTTGGTTAAAGAGAAAGATCCATTTTGTTCAATCAGAAACAGCCTCGATGTCGCCATCATCAAACCCACCAGACTCCATTTAAAAAACAGTAATTTTATAATTGTAAACACACTTCATTCAGAGTCGACTGAAACAAAATAAAACTTACAAAAGAACACCTTGGCTTGTCTTTCCACTGTGCCAACAATCACCAACTCTTGTTTGGTTAAAATAAACTCTTAATTCACCCAGTTAGATGTAAAGACATGCTGCCTCTATACAGGCTATAATTACTGTTTATTTGAATGGAGTCTGGTGTTTTGGGGATTGTGATTTCAGGGCTGTTTCTCGAAACAGAAAGGTTTGTCTCTTTAGAGAGCCTTTTACATAATGTTGTCAGACACTTGGAAAAACAATCCGAGCCTGTTGGTGGCAAAAACAAACACTTTGGCTGTGTCCCAAATCATTCACTAATCCACTTCTCTCTACTCACTATATAAGGAGTTCTTTGTAGAGGACTGTATAGTGAGCTCATCTGCAACATGAAAAAACACTTTCAAACACTACTCAGGTCATTTTCTGGGCGGCGTTAAAGGGATAGTGCACCCAAAAATGAAAATTCAGCCATTATCTACTCATCCATATGCCGAGGGAGGCTCAGGTGAAGTTTTAGGTTTAGTTTAAGTTGTTTGGAAAAACGTTTTTCCAAACAACTTTTTTTGGGGCGCCGTCAGCCTCCATTAGGTGGAGTTGTGTTGCTACCTCCTCTCCCCTTGGGTCTCCGTAAGTGTTGTGAGGACTCTAAAACTTCACCTGAGCCTCCCTCGGCATATGGGTGAGTAGATAATGGCTGAATTTTCATTTTTGGGTGCACTATCCCTTTAAGGACGTCATTGCCGTCACACAATTAAAACATGTTAAATCAGCGTCGGCAGATGAAGCAGCCTTAAATACTGCCATGCATATTTGTGATAAAAACATTAAATTATACTGAGCGTATTTTCCCCAAATTAAGAACATTACAAGGTACTTTGTGGCCGTTTCAACTGCGAGCGTTATTAGCCCTACTCTGTACAGTAACAGACGCACTTGAGAAGATCAGTTGCCGATTTATTTTTTATCTATTTGTGAACCGATGACTTCACATTTAATTGACTGTTTATTACATGGCAAAGAAACTAGTAAACAAACTTCAACACGTTCCACAATGTAAGTTAAACATGTTGTAATCAAGCTGCTCTCTTTCTCGCCTCGTCCGCCTCGGTGTCCGTCCGTTCCTTCTGGGTAATGCATGAGGGAATATATTGGTATATTGGTTCGTGACCATCGGTTGTACGCTACTTAGTGACGGTGCATTGTGGGACACTTTGAGTCCACTATATAGGATATATAGTGCAGCACTACAGCAGTACTAAATGGCGAACTGGTGTGAACATGCTCTGATTGGTTACAGTACAGCCTGGCTGCAGCAGTCTTGTTCCATACTGGACCAATTTCAAAAACTGCTGTCTTGACTAGACACAAAAACACAACATAGGGTCCAGGTTAAAAAATACAGAAGAGGGCTTTGCGTCGATGTTAATGCTTAAAAGTTCAAATTTAAAATCTAGAGTGGAAAGTTCCAGTTCAGCTACCAAACTGACCTCATGGTTAGAGTGGATGAGAAGTGTTGAGAGTGCACCAGAATTATGGAAATCTTGACATTGACAATTAATGGCAAAATTCATCTACTGAGGAAGATCATGTGGTAGAACTGAAAGCTCCAGAGCAGCTTCTACCCTTGTGGTTTTGTCAGCATTAGTTAAGTATTTATTTACCATGAATAAAGCTATTAATTATAACTTACCGACACTTTATATAATGTGTCATTAGAAAGTGACACAGATATGTTGGTAGAGGAAAATATACTTAATTCCCCGAGGGGAAGTTCAGTTTTTTCACACAGGCCCAAAATACACATACATGCACAAACAGGACCTTTATGTGCATTAAATAGAGCATGTCAGAGCTAGCTGGTTCACCGTCTTGTTCAAAGGCACCTTGGCAGTGCCCAGGAGGTGAACTGGCTCCTCACGAGCAACCAGTCCACGCTCTATACTTGGTCCGTACGGGGGCTTGAGCCACTGGCCCTCCAGATCCCAAGCCAAGTCCCTATGGACTGAACTACGGCGTGACTGGTTAAGTTCCTGCTCTGGGCTTTGTCCTCCATCTCACCCCATGTTTCCTGTTTGTATTTACACTTCAAAGTCTCCAGTAAAGGTGGAACCGCCAAAATAAAGTCAACTTTAAAAGGAAAAAAGAATAATTTTATCAGAGACTGGAGCTGTGGGGGTCAACTTCTTCAGGTAATGTGAAACCCTGCCTGATGAGATCAGTGTGACAGGGTCAGTATCGTCCTACTGCTACAATGACAAATCTCTCAGACTGCACATTTTCGTTCTGCTGAGTCATTGATTACTTTATGTCACTGATTCATGCTCTCAGAGGACTCTTAAGCCTTTTGTCACCCTCGCTCGGTGGCCTCCTTAACTACAACCAGCGTGACACTACAACCGATAAATTAAGAGCCTTTATTTAGCCTCTCAGTGCCCAGGGGTGCGGGGTGACTCAGTTCAGTGTTGCCAGCTTGTTGCAGGATGGCTCAGCTGTATGTGGAGCGTGGAATCATCGCAGGGGTTATGAGGGGGAAATGTGCTGCTGGATGAAATGTGCAATCAGCAAAGAGCGCCTTGGACTCAGTGTGCATGTTTACACGCATCGGGGTAAAAATCTTTGGCCTGGATTTCTCATTTGAGTCAGTAAATCTTTGCCTGAGCTGGTGACAGCAGCCATCAGACATATGGAAGATGAATTATGACTCACGTTGGTGCTGACAGCTTTCGATTTGTTGATGATGGTTTTCCATTGATTTGTAGCATTTTCTGCTGCTGGCGAGTTTCGCCTTCATTCATCAGTCGTTCTTTTCTCTCCTCACCTGACATCTCTGCTGTTTTTATTTTTCTCCCTCTCCCTTCAGACAACTATAGAGAAGCGCCCCCTTGTGCCAAAGGCCAGCACCGCCACCTCGACAGGCTCCACTGCTGCCACCAAAAATGGAACTGCTACCACAGCAGCCAGTAAAGCTGCTACATCAGTGCGCACGACGGCGTCTACCCGCACCGCTGCTACCACTGCAGCCAGGAGGCCTCTGGGTACGACCGACATTCTTACACACAGACATTCACGTACACACACACACGTCTTTGATGACTTTATTCACACATGTAGCCCTTATTAATGACCGCACACTCACCATCTGTGTTTCAGCCTCGAAGACAGACAGCAAACCAGGAGAGGAGAAGAAGCCCGGCACTCTGAGGACTTCCACAGGTATTACAGCACTGCAGGAGACACTCAGGAGAAACTCTGCCTTTAGTTTGTCATTCAAGCACATATTAAGAGTCAATTAAAACACATGAAAATCAAACTGGAAGCGAAACATGTACCAATACACCTGATGAAATGCGCCTTCCTGTGGAAGCTCAACTCTACCAGCATCTGATCCATTTTGTACCCAGATCTAGTAAAAAAAAATTGCTATTTGTACGGTTTTGCTTGCAGCCAATCACTGCGAGCGTTTTTAGATTTAATAATATGTGTGATTGGTCAGTACCACAGCAGCTACAACCCATAAGCCCCATTTCCACTGAGAAGTACGGTACCGTTCAGGTCGGTACGCTCCTGTTTCCACTGTGAAAAGTCGTGGATGGTACCCATGAAACCATTCTGTATCGTCCATTTTTTGGCACCCACTCTGTTAGGGTACCTAGCACACAGGCAACATTAAACCCCTGCAGTATTCAACATCATAACTCAGTTACAGATGGGGAGACATTTTGTCAGGTACCCGCCCCTGCAGGCAGACAGGTCAATCATAATGTAGCATCAGGCCAGCTCAGACCAGGGTCCGACAACAACACAGCTGTGCTCCATTGTTTCAGATTTCCTTCATTTTCATGCTGGTTTTGTGGATTTGGAGCTAAATGTTGTGCCTGGGGCACGTCGTGTATTAATGGACACGTTTCTTCCCTGTTCCAAAACCAAAATCAAACCCGGAAGATATAGGGTTAGCTAGTGATGGCCAAATGAAGCCTCATGAAGCGTTTTCTTTATTTTCTGAGCCCACTAGATGGCGATCATGTTTTGAAGAGAGAGGCTCAAAGAATGGCAATTCAGTGTGCTTTCAACCTTTTCTTGATCAAAAAGCGCCATCTAGTGGGCTCAGAAAATAAAGAAGATGCTTCATGAGGCTTCATTTAGCCATCACTAGGCTTAGCTAGCTAGCTCCTGAAGATATAGTCTACTGAATGTATACACATGCTGCTTTTGCTTTTTAATGATTATAACAGTGAAACAAAGACCGACCCTGCTTTACAGGAACTAGTGAAGGGAAGCAGGGAAACTTTGCTGATATTCAACCAGCTGTGTGTCATCACAGTGTGCACAGATGAACGTTGTTTGTCTTCCCCTGGCGGTGGAGGTCCAGGTGCTGGCAGCGGCACAGGGTGAAGCCAAACACCGTTCATCTGCACCCACTGCGATGCCACACAGCTGGTTCAATATCAGCAAAGTTCCCCTTTATATTCATTGTCTTGTGTGTGTAGCTTCTTCACAGCAACATCCACATTTGAAGTAATGTCTACTGTCATGGATACACATGAGTTTCAACAGACACGGATGTAAAGTGCAACTTGACTGCTTGGCAGAGGCATTCAACCACAAGGCGTTAATTCTCGTATTTCAGGTTTTACAGGCAGCTTTTACTTGGTAGCCAGAATTTAGTATTTAATATAATCCTAACTGGTGCCATTATTTCCAGCTACTGTCTGACCTGACACTGCAGCGCTCTCCCTCCCTCTGTGCTTTTGCTTTCTGCATATATTTCTGTCCTCTTTCTTCTTCACTCTCCTCTTCTGTAATCCGTTCCTCAGTTTTGCCTCCCGTCTCCTTCTTCCTACACAGTAACAGCTTTACCCCTCCTGTCGACAGATTAGTTTACATTTTGGCAACAGGAGAGCTGTCAGCAGGAGTGTGACACCGCAACACACACTGTCCAAGCATGACAATGCTGGGCAGGCTGGTAGACGGAGAGCAAGAGGGGGAAAGGCTTTATTGCTAAAAGGCCCCGGAGAGTTAAAAACCTTCACCACAGCAGTCAGTGGATTACTGTCCCTTCGCTGTTGACAGGAGTTTGCAGCTCTTGCTGATACAGCGGGAGGATTTCCTCAATTAAACATGTCTTAACAGGAGCTGGAGATATACCAAAGGCTCTCAGGGAGGATTGACAGCATGACACAAGGTTCAGCATGCAGCACTCTGAAGAAAAAGCTGACACAGAGCAAAGTGTGTATGAATTGACAGATTTGAAGTGCAGCGTGGCTCAGCATGCTGAACCAAAGGATGCTGGAATGTATTCACTGAAACCAGAAGGAGATAAACGTACAAACTGTTTGAAAGGTATTGTTTCAACAGAATGTGACTGTGAGAAGCTGAGGAAGGAATGACCCCTAACATAGCCACTTTATTAGGTACACCTGTTCAGCTGCACGTTAACACAAACATAGACAAGTAAGGCAGAGCTGTTAAAAGACTAGTGTAGGTTTGATGCTAAGTGATTCAGTAGTTGGATGACAGAAGATGATCCCTCTCTGCCTGTTTTGTCTCCCTGCTTTCTCGCACTGTTTTGCTCCCATTTCTTTTTGTGTTTCCGTTCCTCTCTGGCTCTCGCGTCACTTATCTGTCAGGGTTGACTGTAAATGTCCTTTGTGGTTTGGCTTTGGGTTTACTGCGTGTGTGAGAGAGACAGTTTCTGAATACATAATTCACTTCAAAATCACATCCAGTCCTAAGCACGTCGCCTTTGGGTGTCTTAATTTTTGTCATTTGTATGTTGACGCTGTAAACGTAGCAGAGAATTATTATTATCATTAACATTTTATCCCAGTCTCCTTAAGGCCTCGGCTATCGGGGAGCCTCTGTCACCCAAGTTTTTGCTTTGTATTCCGCACCATTGGCACTAGTCAGCCCTTGTTGGTGGCTTTTTGGCTGATTCAGCTTGTTGAATCAGCAGCGGAGCCCGTTGGTGATAGAAATCATCGATTGGTAGTTCAGTTCAGTGCACGAGAACAAAAACAGAAGTTAGGAAACAAACAAGTCAAGAGATTAGGATAAACTTGTTATATCAGGTAAGATCATTTTGTTTCGAGGTTTTGCTCAAGACGTAGAGCTGGTTGTCCAATAGTTAGAAAGATAGGCAGTTCGATACCCGGCTCCTCCAGGCGGCACGTTGAAGTCCAACAACTCTCGATGGCGAATGAGTGAATGTGACATGAAGTGTGAAAGCACTTTGAGTGGTCGGGAGACTAGAAAATGCTGTACAAGTGCAGGTCTATTTACAGTTTAGCCCTTGATCGCTTCGGCACTAACAGCTCATTTTGTTCACGTAATTGTTAATGTGCTAACTGGCTAACTAGTGTCTTGAATCCGTCCTGTTGGTCTTCTGGTATCCCTCTTTGATTATTGAATACAGACTACTGCCACCTGCTGGTGTGAGGCGTTATTTCTTCTCTCAGGTGCAGACCGTCTGTGCTGGTTGGCCGTTAACTGTAGCCTTTGCAATGCATTCAAGTGCAACGTTTTGGCCAAACACAGGTGACACGAGGAGCCACAACAGTCGGGCTTTGTCACCACTAGTTCTTTGATGTCGGTTTGGTATTTCTGGGCCTTTAAAGGTGAAGTGAGTAAGATTTAGTGGGTTTTGATGGCAACCAGTTGAAACTTCGCCTGGTTAGATTTCCTTAGTGATAGGGTAGGGTAGGGATAGGGTAGTGATGGCTAAATGAAGCCTCATGAAGCATTTTCTTTATTTCATGAGCCCACTAGATGGCGCTTTTTGTTCAACAAAAGGTTGAAAGCACACTGAATTGCCATTCTTTGAGCCTCTCTCTTTAAACCATGAGCACCATCTAGTGGGCTCAGAAAATAAAGAAAATGATTCATGAGGCTTCATTTGGCCATCACTACTTCAGGGTTCATCATTCAGGAGGTTTTTACCAGGAGCCGAATTATCCACAGAGGTCACTTTCTCCCCAGAACAAATTGACCCAGTGAATTGAACTGGTAAAATAACAAAATAAAGCAGTTTCACTATCTGGCCGGTATTTAAGTTGTCCGTTCTGGGCAACTGTTGAAACATGACGGCAATAAAAAATGAAACAGTGTCAAGCTCTGAATAACTTCCTCTCTCTGTCTCTCTTTCCCAGCCGACTCCACCAAGCCCAAGACCACCACCACCCGCAGCACCGCTTCCACCACTGCTGCGTCACGCACTCGAACCACGGCAGCCAAACCGGCCACGCCCTCCTCCACCACTGGCACAGCACCAGAGAAGAAGCCCATGGTGCCCCGCACCTCCCGGGCCACTTCCTCAACCACCAACACCACCACCACTGCCACATCTAGGACCACCGCTCGCCCCAACACAGCACCGGCCCCCGACATCCGCAACGTCCGCTCTAAGATCGGCTCTACAGACAACATGAAGCACCAGCCCGGAGGAGGGAAGGTAGGTGCTTCGTCTGCAGCTTTCATACCTCCAGACGGGTGTTGGGCTTTTGACAGCATGTGTGTTTGGACACTGGCCGCCCCTCAACTAACAGGAAATGTGGCTCCTCACTTACTCTTCAAACTTCTTCTGAGCTCTAGTACAAATATAACCAACGATCAACATTTCAGCACAACATTGTCTGTTCCTTCACCTCACCAGCTCCAGTACAGTCCGCACGTTTCTCCGTCTTCTCTCATTGTCTTTGGGTCTGTTCATTGGCTTCGCTTTAGATCTCTTACTCACTCCTCTGCATGTGTATTTACTATAATTTTACACATTCTCCAAGCTTTCTGTTTCTACCTTTCATCCTCCACCCTCACACATATCATTGCACCTCCTCCTGCACCGCCTCCTCTTCCCGTGTGTTGTTATAAAGTGTTGTTGTTGACCCGGGGTCGGCTTGTCTCCCCAGGTGTCATCTGCCTCTCAGAGCAGGGGCGTGGCCTCCAAAGACACAAGCCAGGGCAAAGTGAGTCCCCCCGCCATCCTCCCCACCATCACCACATACTCTACCTCCCTCCTCTCCTCTTCTGTCTTTTCTGTTCTGACATGTTTTACTGTTTATTTTTGGGGGATTTTTTCAGCTCATAATTTTTGTTTGCTGTTAATGAATTGCACTTCTGAGGAACACAAAGCCAAAAACATTACTAGTCTTTTGAGTAATAAAAGCACTCACAGCATCTTATTCTGTCACATTTTCAAACCCATTCAGTCACTCTATCATAGTCAACACGTCCATTCTCAACATATATTCAGACGAAATACAGACGTGCCTCTGAATACTTTCAGCAGTCACAGTGAGTGATAAATGATTGATGATTTCTTGCTTCATATTTTGCAAGTTAGGTTGTTTTTAAGATGGTAATTAACCTAAACCAAGGTTGTAGTTTCTCTTGGGATTCACTCCTGACTGGTGGAATTACACTGAGTTATGAAAAATGATGTTAGAAATCAAAGAAAGCTGACTCAGTGTTCGTATGTAATGTAATCACCACCCTACACTCTAGCCTGGTTTCACTTCTCAGCAGTGGTTATTGAGGATGGAACATTGGCTCCATTAATCTTAATGGTTTAATTTGAGGCAAACTGCAGCTTTTCTGCTACTTTCAGGGTGATGCTCAGCAAACAGAGGGCGTTAAGTCTGTTAAAATGTATAACTTTAAACTCTAAAGGTGTTCTTACCCTGAGACCAGCCATATACTTTTCAACAGATGTACATGCTGCACTAACAACCCTGCAAAATCAGTGATTTAAAGGGAAAAATTTGTTTCAAGTGACTAGTGACATAAAAATAATAGTTAGCATGTTAGCCGTTAGCCTAGATACAGCCGGGGCACATAGTAGCGTCAGACCTGTTAAAACGTAAGTGAACAGGCAACCTTCAAGTGCAAAGTTAGTCCACTAAACAAGCTTTTTTTCCACAAAGACCGCCTCATATCGTTAGGATAAATGTCAGAGAACATATAGAAAACCACATGTAAACGTGTTGTCTTACCTTACCGGTGTGCTGCCATGTTTGTTTACCATTTAGCTCTGCTTTCCAAAGCGCGGCCGAAATATATCTCGCGAGCTCTAGATAAAGCCCAGCTGGATACTACTCCAGGTGGAGGTGTCTCGTCCTCGGTCACATCCAGACCTTGAAAATAAGGCTGCAACCGGTCCCATTCCTTGCAACAGAGGCATTCCTCTTCTGTGGGCACTGGGGCACAGCATTCACAGGTACACCACCAATCTCCAGAGCTACGCAGCCTTGCAGCAGCCATTCCTCCTCTCTCGTCCTCTACCTGTTGCGCCTCTCTCTCTCTCCTCCTCCGTTCTTCAATTTCACGAAGCTCTTCGTCAGTGTATTCTGGCTCAAATAAATAAGGGCGGCCATCAAACTCTGCAAAATCAAATTCCTCCTCCACAAAGTCGAAGTCTGGCAAAAAGTCAGCCATTATTCTATAAATCTTTCATAAAATAAATGAATGAACTTTTCAGGCTACTGTCCGGTTCTGCCTTCCAGCTGTTGCTGCTTGTTCTCGCGAGATTTCAGGCACGGTATGAGATCGCTGCTTGTTCTCGCGATATTTCGGCCGCGCTTTGGAAAGCAGAGCTAAATGGTAAACAAACATGGCAGCACACCGGTAAGGTAAGACAACACGTTTACATGTCGTTTTCTGTATGTTCTCTGACATTTATCCTAACGATATGAGGCGGTCTTTGTGGAAAAAAAGCTTGTTTAGTGGACTAACTTTGCACTTGAAGGTTGCCCGTTCACTTACGTTTTAACAGGTCTGACTCTACTATCCGCCCCGGCTGTATCTAGGCTAACGGCTAACATGCTAACTATTATTTTTATGTCACTAGTCACTTGAAACAAATTTAGGACGATAGGAGACAGGTTGAAATAAACCGAAATTACCCTTTAAGACATGTAAAGTTGCGTTACACCTGTATGGTAATGCAGTGTGCACTTTCAAAATCAGTCTGCATCGTGTAATGGTTAATCCAACTCAGTCAAGAAAGTTGATTTTTAGGAGGAACAAACATTGGAAACATCGCCGCATGTTTTTAAGTGTTGTTTGTTGCCACTGGATAAAACCATAGATTGGATATGAAGATGGACACAATCACCACTTTCTCCCACTGTACAGAAATGAAGCCAAAGAATCCCTGACCTGGGCGCTGCCTAGGGATGCATGATAATATCGACGCGCCATCGGTATCAGCCGATATTGCCTTTAAAATGAAATATCCGAATTGCCCAACATGCTTTTTCTTAATTTGTATAAAGTATTGTATTTCATGCCTCCATATTGCTGGTGGGCCGTCACAATAAGAGTATCCATGTATAATATGATGTTAAAGCCACTACAGAAGAGAAAAAGTGGATATCGATACTGGAATCGCTCAAACGAGTTTTTACATGTTGGCATATCGAATATCAGCAAAACAATTCCACTATCGTGCATCCCTAGTGCCTACATCTTGTGCTGATGACATAATTTGGAGCCAGAGTCTGCGCAGTAGTAATTGGGAATGGGAGCCGTGGTATTGAGTTCCCGCCCATACACCTGTCCGACCTGATCGCGAGCACATGGCTGTCAACAATGATGTCACGACTCTTACAAAGCATCAAATTACCAACTAAAATGTACACTTGAACGTACAGCAGTGTGATAAGAGCTGCCTAAAATCCATCTTTGATGTGTACTTTGATTTTTAAGTTGGCCCACATCCCATCTGCAAACATGTGGGGGCGGGGCTTGTGTGAAGCACTACAGCCAGTCACCAGGGGCAATTAAGATGTTTTGGCTTCAATTTCTACTGAGTGATCATGTTGTCCAACTTTACTATACAGTCTATGGGTAAAACATACAGAAAACTCCTATGGTCCTTAAACTACTCTTCATATACCGTGTATTCTACCAAGAGGATGAGAGAGTGAGGATTCCTTTTCCTTTAAAATATATTTTCTGCTTGTAAGAGGTTAAATGTCCAAAATGGGTCCAATCGACACAAAATGTGTCCATGCAGCAAATGATTCTTTCAGTTGTGACATGCCCTGAAGTAGTAAACACTAGTGATGGCCAAATGAAGCCTCATGAAGCATTTCCTTTATTTTATGAGCCCACTAGATGGCGCTCATGGTTTAAAGAGAGAGGCTATTCAGTGAATCTTTCAACCTTTTCTTGAACAAAAAGCGCCATCTAGTGAGCTCAGAAAATAAAGAAAATGCTTCATGAGGCTTCATTTGGCTATCACTCGTAAACACATAGCAGTCATGTGTCACTTAAATGAAAATCAGTCAACATTCACACTAATCTACAAAACAATACTGTAGTCTGTAGACTCCATGTAACAGTTTAATGTTGGGATAAAAGCCCTGGGCCTCTCGCAGTGATACTTCCCAACTACACACAACTGGCAGTGTTCATCAGCAGGAAGCTGGTGAGGTATCACATCCTTGTTGCTGCACTAGTGACTCCTGCTGGTCGGTCACAACCGACCATTCTGTGACTGTGTGGAGGGTGTGTGTGTCTTATTTAGAAGGACAAACATGCAGAGAGCTTTATCACAGTTATAACAACTAACTCGGATCAAAATGTTTTCTGTTGGTTTGTAACCTGTCAGCGAACGACAGTATGAATGTTGCTTTTGTCACTTGTCAATCTGTGTTAACGTATGTGTAGATTTCGGGGGCGGGAACGCAGGGGACACCCCCACCCCCAACCAATGAAAACATGAATGTCAGAGGGGACTTTTATTTGGACGAAATTAAAGACATTTCCTCCACAAATTGATGCATAAAGGTCACCAGAATGCAGGAAATTAAGTGTTTGATGATCAAAATTTCCCGTTTCATTTGCATCCCTCAACCTGTACCCTTGTGTGTTAGTCACATCCTGTGGGGGTCCCATTGATTCTCATCGACAGGGACAGATGTTTATATGTTGTGTTGCATGTGTGTGCCCTAAAAACCAGTTTCTGTGTGGCACTCAGTAGCTTCTGCTTTCCTTTTCTCCAAACATGGGTGAAACAGCATTTGAATACCTTCCAGTCCTGTTAGATTTTTGTCATCGTCACTAAATGACAACACATGGAAGACTTTACATTTCAGACTGCCTAACCTCCCAGCAGTAGATATCAAACGCACCCAAGATAGTTAAAATAAGTTGGATTTTGCCCAGGTGAACCTCGCTCCACCCTCCTGTCCTCTCCTTTCTAACCCTGCCTGTAATGGTGACTTCTTCTCCCCTTCTCTTTCCTTTTTTTATCCTCTTCTGTTATCTTTTCTTTCTATCTCCTCTCTTCTTACTTCTCCTTTCACCTCCTCTGGTGTCATCCCCTCCCCTCCCCTGCCCTCCCTTGCTGTCCTCTTCCCTCTTGCTGCTATGCTGTGTCCATATAGGTTCAGATAGTCTCCAAAAAGCTGGACTTCAGCCACGTCTCCTCACGCTTGGGTTCCAAGGACAATATGAAGCATGTTCCTGGTGGAGGGAATGTAAGTACTGCCTGGCCGACAACCAGAGCTCGCATCAGCCAACAAGTCAGATAAATTTGACTCGATGAAACGGCTCAAAGAAACAACAGAGGAAAGATGAACTGTTATATTTTCATCTCGTTTTCTCCTCAAAAAAAAAAAAAAAAAAAAAAAAAATTAATTAATCAAATTAGTCCTCAGTCCTTGTCAGTGCCAGCATGAGTAAGCTGTACGGTATGTGAAAGGTCTCAGCCTTTAAAAAAGTCAAAGCAGCTCCTCACGTCAAGCTACAGTGCTGCTCTCCCTGAGCTGAGGGAGTTATTGGACAGCATGCTAGCAAGCCTGATGTACCAGCCCTTCCCCAGAACCCGCTTCACAGTCCCCTGCTTCGTTAATCTCTTCCTGTGTTGTCCTGCCCTGTCACTAACTTACTAAACAAACAATGAAGTCAAGCAAACAACCACCACTGCCCTCTGATTGGCTCTGTCTGTGCTAAGATTGTCTGATTCTGTGAGGAGAGTATCACCACAAAGGTGCATTTTGGGTTTCCTGAAACGATGTCCTGTCCTGAGCTTCTGCTTTTGGTGCCTGGTGTTTTTACTATACCAGAGTGTTCCTGCCATCTTTACAGCACACGTCTAAAATGATTGATGACTACAGGCTGGAATCAACCACGTCTTCTTGTTTTTGTATCATTGTCACAACATGGAGTTCACAGTTTGTGCTCTGCAGCTCAGCCTTTTGGAGAGCACTGCTGATCCTGATGGTGGTAATTCAAAGTGTTAACAGGGCGTTTAGTGCAGCGGAAGAAGAAACAGCCCTTAAAAATGAAACCATCAGTTAACCTGTGTCCCTGTAAGGTGTTTTAACCATTCGTGATAAAAAGGGTTGTGTGGTTTTTGACAGGTGCAGATACTCAACAAGAAGGTGGACGTGAGTAAGGTGACATCAAAGTGTGGCTCCAAGGACAACATCAAGCACAAGCCTGGTGAGCTGGGAAATGTAGTTTTGACCCTGCTGTGTTTGATCTGTCGTATTATTAAATGCATGGTGCTCAAAAGCTATCAGATGGTCCTATCTTTGTACACTGAGGTGGCAGTTTATAGGTGCATTTAGGATGCTTTCACACCTGCCCTGTTTGGTTCGGTTCAATCAAACTCAAGTTTCTTTGCCCCCTCAGTGCGGTTCGTTTGGGCAGGTGTGAACACAGCAATCACACTCAGGTGTGCACCAAAACAACCGGACTGAGACCTTCTTGAAGAGGTGGTCTCAGTCCGGTTCCAAAGGAACTCTGGTGCGGTTGGTTTGTGGTGAGAAGGTGTTCCGACCTGGATGTGAAGCAACTGCAGTCACATGACACATTGTTTGGGTTAAACATGAGCATGTTACAGTACTGGAGGATTATTAATGTGCACCTCCTCCTGTACTGCCTTAATATGCACATTCAGCACATCCAATGCATCAAAACATTGTTTTCTAGTTGGAGCCGCGCCTCGTTTTCAAACTGTATGGTTTGACTAAAATGAACAATGACAGCAATATAGTCCACGATGAGCAGCGCTAAAATCAACCTGCGTAGTTGTCCCTCCATTGTGACATTAGAAAGTGTCACATTTATCTTGCAAGTGTACTCTTCTTCAACGTTTGCTTTACTTCCTGGATTTTTCCCACATGGAAATTCCGACCAATCAAGAGCAGCTTCCTCACACAAGGCATTTGATCTGGTCCGCTTGTAAATGCTGCCGTGAGAACACGAACCAACTCTAGGCAGTTACACAACTTTGGAACAAAACGAGTCCCTGATTCAGACCAAAGGAGACGAATCTAGGGCTGAGAGCAGCCTTAGAGAAAATTAATGCAGTCTAAAACAGCCCTTCATAAAGGTTATAATGTTCAAGAAGGTTTTTGTTCAATGACTGACAACGATTTCTGAAATTGGTCCATTATTGAGCGAGAGCACTGCAGCTTGTTTTTGCCACCGACACACTCAGATTATTATTCTAAGTGTCTGATAACTTGTGGAAAGGATCCCCATAGATATAAACCTTATTGTTAAAGAGTAAGATCCTTTTTGTTTAAGCAGAAACAGCCCCAAAATTGCTATCTGCAGACCCACCAGACGCCATTTCATCAGCGTAAAACACACCTCATTTAAAGTAGACCAAAGCAAAATAAAACTCATTAAAGCCTTCTTCATTTGTTTTCCACTGTTTCAACAATCCCTTACTCTGCTTTGGTTGAAATAAACTCTTAATTCACCCAGTAAGATGTGAAAATATGCTGCCTCTATACACACTATTACTGTTTATTTAAATAGCATCTGGTAGGTTTGGGGATGGCTATTTCGGGGTTGTTTCTGTAAGGATCCTTTCCATAATGTTGTCACACATTTGAAATAACAATCTGAGCCTGTCTGTGGCAAAAACAAGAACTTTTAGTGGACGTAAATTTTGCTCATTAGCTTTTCTTTGCTTCAGCTTATGTCTACAAATATATACGATCATCAGACTGATTATCCATGTGTGCTGCAGGCGGTGGGGACGTGAAGATCGAGTCCCACAAAGTGAGCTTCAGGGAAAAGGCTCAGTCCAAAGTGAGCTCCATGGACAATGTGAGCCATTCACCTGGTGGAGGAAACGTTAAGGTGAGGTTATCACGCATGACGACATCCTTCAGTCTGTGTGCATAACGTTACTCTGTCTGTAGACTATAAACTGTTGTTTTTACATTCCTGTTCATGGGAAATTGCTGCAGATCAGTGCGCTGTCTGCAACTGAGATCTGTTTAATTTCTTTGAAAGTGTTTTGATGAGCCAGCCAATCACAATGAAGATGAGTCAGGTCTCACAGTATAGTAGCAAATGACAATTTAGGTACTTATGTCAAAAAGTCATTTCAGATTAAAAGTATTGGAGAGTAGTGTCCAATGATAATTACAGTTTACTTGTAGTGCCACCTACTTGAGTTAGTTGTGATGGCAACAAAGTGTGTATCACATGACTCACCTTCATTATTAAATGCAATTGATCCAATGTGTTCAGATGAGAGCAGTCGATTTTTGAGCGTCATCAGAGTCCAAATTTCACCCCTGGATCCTTAAACATTTTTAAAACCCTCTTCAGTACAGTAATTGCTCTGCTCTTTAAAAAGCCACTAACAGCCTTAAGCCTGATTTATGGTTGACAGCTTGACACTTATGATGATTGTTGGTCGACAGACATGATGCACTGCCGACAGAAAGAAGTGCTCCTTTCATTTTCCTTTCACGTCACGCACCCTGAAAACTTTTTGATGTCACAGACACCATCATATTGTCGTACAATGTGGTTGGGTAGACACGGCGGCCTCTGTGAAGCCCAGTTCAGACCAAAGATTGATGACGAGACTTGTTGAAACAAACAGCTACTTGCAGTGCGCTGTTCTGCATCGTTCTAAAAACCTGCAGGGTCACACCAATGCAGCTAGATGGTGTATTGTCTCTATGCAACAACTCTGTACTTTGGTTCTGATTTGCAGCTTCTCAGACTTATTTTGTGGCTGAATATAATTTGTAGCTTCTTAAAATATGAATGACGATAGTGACAGTGAGATACTGGCTACAGATGCATTTGTAGTGGTGATGAAACGGTGGAAAACTGAAACAAAACGAGCTTTAGACAGCCAGTTCACACCACTGCAACCTTTCTCTGTAACCGTAAGTGCTATATCGTAGGCAACTGGTCTTGCTTGCGTTTCTTGAAGACGTTTCGCCTCTCATCCAAGAAGCTTCTTCAGTTCTAAATGACTGGTAGGAAGTTGCATTTCTCTGTAACGTTCTTAAACAGTTTCATCCTGTCGTGAATCTTTGGTCTGAACTGGGATTAACAGGCTACTGGAGTTTCACGTGTGCTGGCGTGAGCAACATGGGGTCAGGTCTCTTCCATGTGCCACATTTGTTGGACCAAAACATAATCACCCTGTCGCTCCCTTCTTTGGTTCTACGGATGCACTGAGCACCTCTTTTTCTTGCGCTCCCTTTGTCTTCTCAGATGTAACTAAACAAACCAGCTGGAGGATAGTGTGTGGTTGCCATGGAGACGACTGAAACCTTTCACTGGAGCATAAATTACAAATCGTTGCGCAGCTCTTTAATTTCTGTGAACCGACACTCATTAAAATTGTCGAGCACCTTACCGTGAATCAGGCCTTGGTGTCTCTCTATAGCAGTGGTTCTCAGCTGGTGGGTCGTGCTCCAAAAGTGGGTCACAGGTCCATTCTGAATGGACGACACGTGACTCGGGAACGTGTCAAGTGTGTAAAAAACACACTTTACGGTGAAGTACAGTGAATTTTCGGCACGAAGATTTCATTTTGGAGTGCCGTGCCCTGCTGTAGAGTGAGTGACTAACGGACAGCTACTTGACAGAGACAGCAAACTAGCTCGACGACACGGCCAAACACAAGTACGATGCTGAGTTTGTTAAACTGTGTGGACCTTGAACTAATGACTAAGAAGAAATCTGGACCCTGTGGCTGGACCAGTTGGGAACCACTGCCCTATAACATTCATGACTAAATAAGTTACTAATCTTTAGATATTGAAGTGTTTAATGCACAAAAACTCAGTTGACAGTGATCAAACCCACCAACTGTCATTATGTTCTGATTCAAATGTTGCTGAGAACTGATTGGTGCAACAAAGTCTGTGACATTGCCTTTTTTTCATCTGTGCCCCGCCCACTTTGAACCAGTAGGAAGATCACAGAGAAAAAAAAAAACAAATACAGAAATGAGAAATAATCAAACCTCTTATAATTTTGTTACACTCTTAGCAAAAGTCCGATAGTTTGACAAAGTATGTTTTTAGAGCCGGACTTTAAAGCTTAGATCGGAGAGGGCAGTGAAACACTGCTCTCACACTTGTTTTGAAGTTACCATTTAAGCAATTGTCTGTGCAAGACTCCTGGAGCATGACCGGAGTTCATAATCTAAATGTTGCTGTCACTGACGATGATGATGACAGCCTGTCATAAACCATCTGCAGCAACCTGAACCATCTCAAACCCTCCGCACCTGCAATCAGCTCCCTTTCTCCTGACCTTTCTTCCTTCTGTTGTGAAACTGGACGTCTCCCCCGCAGGGCAAAACTCAGCTCAGCTCCATCTAACACATTTAGAGAGCATGGGAGAAGATAGGGATACAGACAGTGGATGATGCTCATGGATTTGTAAAATACAGAAATACAAACCTTAAGAAAAGGACTTAAGTAACCAAAGTACGGGTCGGGTTATTGTGGGGGATCATGGGCCTGCAAACATAAAAGGAAGAGATGAAGTGATGTCACCTGTCCCCTCAGCCTACTCCAGCTCATCTGTGTTTCATGATCGCTGCATGATCCCATCTTTCACTCACATTCTCATCTTCACTTCCTGTTTTCCACACCCAGTCATCATCTGCACACTCAGAGATGCATAATCAGACGGACGGCTAAAAATATCCTTCACATAATAATAGCCTGTCTGCGAGAACATTTTGCTGTTTGATACCTGAAGTCTATTTTTAAGGGCTTTGAAACATGTTCCGACTTTCATTGGTTTTTGTTGGAAAGACACCATGTGTACAATATCTCATGTCTTACTGCAGAACTGTGCAGGCTTACAGAAACCCAATGACCCGCTCGCTGTCTCATCGTGTGTCACTGTCATGAGTCTCCAGCTGATGGTCCGTTTACACCGATCAGCCAAAACATTAAAACACTGACTGGTGAAGTGAATAACATTGATCATCTTGTTACAGTGCAGTGTTCTTCTGAGGAACCTTGAGTCCTGGAATTCATGTAGATGCCACTTGACACGCACCACCCACCCAAACACCATTACAGACCAATACACCCCCTCATGGCGACGACACTCCCTGATGGCAATAGCCCCACCACAAAAACTGCTCAGGAATGGGCTCAGGAATGGAACAAAGAGCTCAAGGCGTCGACCTGGCCTCCAAATTCCCCAATCCAATCATAAATCCATTGAGCATGCCGGTACCTTTCGCCACAACATAAAATTACACTGAGCAAGCGCTGCCTCGATTGGTTAGTTTTTAATATCAGTTCAAGTGTATGCTACATTACCTGTACCTTCTTGACAAATAAAGGCCTGTCTCAATTAGAAGCCTGGTCACCAAGCGGTTAATTGTTATAGAAGTTCTTTGGATGTATAAAACCGAATTGTTGACTACCCACTTGAGCTAACATTAGTTTAAGCTTTCGTCAATATGGAGATGCTACACATCTTTAGCTCGGTTAATTTACTTTTACTGAAACCATAGGAACCAGAGAAGACCCTAAGTCATTCAGATTTACCAGCATGATGAAAAAACAAGTGGTGACTCCCTTCCGAAGCTGTCATAAAGTCAGAGTATGTGACCGTTCCTCAAATATACAGTGAGATTTTCAATGAGTTAACGATTTGATCGTATGTCCCGTCTTTGCCGAGCGACAGTTTTATGTAAAAGAAAGGTCTGTCCCTAATATGAGCCTGTTGAGTTCAGTGATTTAAGCAAATAATAGCCTGGGCTACTAATTGAAGTTTTACGGTAGTGACACGTAAATTCATGATGATTTTTCTTTAGGTGGCTAAAAAATATTTTGCTGCGCCCCCGTCCACAGCAATAGTAGTAGTACATAAAATAAGCACAACAGAAATGTCAGATAGTTCAGACCACAGTGTTTAACTATTTATATATTTAAACGTTACAGTTACGGCTGAAAATGAAACTTTTGCTGATTTCACACATCTCTGCAGTTGAAATGAATTGCTAGTTCTCCACCTGGATTGTTGTTGTTATAGTGTGACCTCACGCTGATTTGGTATATTGACAAGACACGTTGATTTAGGACAGCCTCAATAGCAGAGTCTGTCCTCTCATTAGTTCTGGCACACCACTTGACAACAGCGAGACAACAGTGTTAGTCCCGCCCGTGGCGCTGATTAGCTAATCATTAATCCCCCCAGGGGACGTCGTCGTTTTGCATTTTAACTCAAAAACCACTGTTTCATGTCACAATGCCAGACAAATCACTCAGTTTGATCTGAGTAAAGTGAGCGGATTCAGAGCTCTGGAAGGAGTCACACTGTTTGCATTGGGTGACATGTTCCTTCATGAACACACGCACACTGTAGTTTATTTAGACACAGTCTCTGCTGCTGAAAATAGTCCCCAACACATACACATTTTCCTCCCGTTTGAGTGACCGTTGCATTTTTAAAATGAAACTAGTGGAGCATCCAGAGGCTCAGTGGGTAGAGCAGCCGTCACATATACAAAGGCAACGTTCTGCAGCCCTCTCCAATATCCAATACAGGCAAAAAGACCAATAAATAATCTTTCAAAAAAATGAAGCTAGTAATGACCCCTTGTTGTACAGATGAAACCCATTGGTTCTCAGTAGGAGCTAATGCCACAGACAGAGACTGAGATCCATAGAAAAGATGGACTGGATGGGATTTGTTGAAATTAAGAAATCAGTGAATATATATAATCCTGCCAGCCTCGTCCTTTAAGCCTGCCTGATGAGTCTGCTGAATGAAGCATGATTTCATAAAGTGAGTCCAAGTGATGTATTGAGGGTGTTTCCGTCTCCACAGCCGTAACGTCTTGTGTGTGAAGTATAAACCCATCCAGGTTTCTCCTCGGTTTTGATTTGATATAATAAGACATTTGTGTTTCTATGACAAGTAACAACTCCTGAGGTCTTTTTGCATTCACTTCCTCCGAGGTAGGATAATAGAATTAAAGCATTCTTACAGATATGACATCACACACAAGGGTTTGTGCTTCAGGAAAAGTATAATTTCTACACATTTTACACTTTGCATCTGCTTTTTTGTATCTGATGTGCTTGAATTTACCATTTTCTTTCTATCACTGCTCTCATTTGAGTGTTCAGTTATGATTTTTTTGTAGTTCCATCACTCTCCACCTGAGTCTGGCTCCAAATCTTTTTATGTCTAAAACATCTGCTCCCTGAGAGTTTTGCAAACACAGACTGTCTACGTGAATCATTTGTGTGTAACTACATACAGACTGTAGTGATATGAGATTTGGAGCCAGCTTGTTTCATCCCCATCCCCACCGATTGACACGCCCTGCTATGTTTTTCTAGGCTGAGGGGGCCCAGGAGACAACAGAGGGGAATGGGACTCCCCTGAGTGGCACCGAGGCCCCGGCCCCAGGCTCCGAGCCAGGGCAGGCAGGGAGCCCTGCTGCCCAGGAGAATGGGCTGAAGGAGGGGGCTCCCTGTGATAGTGAGGGCCTCCGGGAGCCCCAGGCTCTGGACTCACGTATCCCAGAGACAAGTAAGTTTGTGTGTGTGCCAGACACATCCGGATTTGCGGAGGAGATGCACGGGAAAAGCCAGTAATGCCAGCAATATCCTGTTGCTGGGTAACATCTGAAAAATAGCACACCGTGCAGTCAAAGTATGAACACCGTGTGGGGCTGAGATAAATTGTCTTTGTGTGAACCTGTATCTGTGTGTGTGCTGTATTCATCATGTTGTCTGCCGTCCAAAGCGCCTGATCACACCGTCGTCTCTTGACTTCTTATCTTGCAGGCATCTAATTCTACTATCCCTCTGCCCTCCTCATCTCACCCCCCCGCCCCCCCCCACAACGCCACCTCCTGCCCCTCCCAAACTTCTCCTGTCTATATTTTTTTCTTTCTCCCTGTCTCCCTCGTCCCTCTTCTCTGCCCCTTTCTTTCAACCTTTCTGCTGCAGATTGAGTGTTTCAAGCTCAACTTCCGCGAGAATGCTCGCTCTCGCACGGACCACGGCGCCGACATCATCACCTGGCCAGCCCCCCAAGACGACAACAGACCCCACCCGCACGGTTCCTCCCACTCTCTACACCAAAACCTCCGCCAGCAACACCCGACTCCTCGCAGCGTCTCCCTCATCGAACCGTTGGCTTCTGCAGGCTGCGTCGGCTCCCCCTCTGCCCCCTCCTCGCTGCATCTTCAGGGGGAGGTCCAGGGGGAGGACAGCAGCTCTTTAAAAGGATCTTTACCTTTTTTGTCCCCATTAAACCCCGCAGAGCCCCTTTTATCTTAAATCTGTCATTGCAAATTCTTTGAATCATCCAATAGTTCTGCAGCTCTAGTATCATGTTATCTTGCCTCTTCTCTCACATCTGAGCTCATCATCATGACGTGACGGTATAGACTAAGCTTGGGAATCTATGTGGAAGGAAACAAGGGGAAGGTTTTCTCACGTATTTGGTTGTGTCTTCTCCAAAACCGCTGACCCGGAATCAATGGGTTTCACTTGGATCCTCTTTACCCCACAGCCCGGTGGTGTACTTCGACCCTGCTTCATGTCACCTTCACATAACCAATAAGCAGCGATCACTTCATTCGTCAACTGAGCAGCGTGGAAACCCTCCTGGACTCACACATAGCTTCTCTTTCCCTCGTGACTTTAGGGCTGTTCATTCCCAATAACCACTCACCCTCTGTTTCAGTAACATCATAGTAATCAGCTGTCCGTCTCATCTGCTTCATCACTTTCTCTCTCTTCACTATCACTTACCATAAACAAGCTGACAAACAAAAAAGCTAGACAACAAGTAGGCTGTTTGAACCATTTTAGGCTGTTTAACTCTTTAATCTCTGTTTGTGATGATGTGTTTGAGTGACAACATTGTGTAAAAATGAGCTTTGGTGTTCTTTTCTCGGATCTTATTTCTGTCTTTCTCAAGTTTTCTCTTCTTTTCTTTCCTTCCTAGTTTCTTGATTTAAAAACAAGGGTTTATTTATTTATTGTACGTCTCTTCCTGCGTAAGCAATACAGTGGGCGGTCTTTTTTTGTTTCCAGTAGCACTCAGAATATCTTGGAAACACGCACAGGTTTTTGTTAAAGCAAGACACACAGTGAAAATGTTCAGAGGGAGGAAGAAAGTGAGAATGGATATGACGCAAGAAGGGTGACAGAGCAAGCGTTGCATTTATAGCAAAATCCTTGTCGAAAGGTGAAAGTTTTTGAAAAGCAATAGTGGAAGTTTGCTTAAGTAGAGAAGCTTTAAGTGTGCATGCGATCCAGAGGGAGACGAGGAAGATGCCTAATCGTCTCTGAAGTCAAAGGAGCGGTGTGTCTCGTATGTGCCTCCTGTCCTTCTTACCTGAAAACTGCAGTGAACGAGGGTGACGCAGGCTCACACCTAAAACTGCACAGACAAATGGGATATCGTAGCTGACGAATCGGACGTAAAACGTTAGGGGCAACCTGGTTTTGCTGTTGTAAGGAAATTGTGTAAATCAAGCTGTCCTGGTAGTTGTGTGTCGTCATGGTTGTTGTCCCATTTCAGGTGTTTCTATGAGGGTAATGGTAGCATGTTGTTTGGCAGTAGCTGAATACGAAAACATCTCTACTACGTGTTCGGCACTTTTGTCTTTGGAGTGTTGGCAGTGGAACATGATGTGGCTTTATACTCTTCTCTTGTAGCAATGTATTAAACTGTTGCCTCCAATTGCCTTTATAATGCATGGCCACATTATACGATATCACACCCAGAGCTGAAAGCCTTCGTGCATTATGACTCAAAGTGTTGTGGTTTGGTACCATATGTATATCTCGGGGGCGATCCAAGACAGTTGATGTGTTGTTACTAAAATTATGGACAGGAAGAGCTGGTGTCGGATGGCTGTTGTTTCACCTCTTAATTGCATTATTAATTCTACTGCTTTAAATTATATTCTATAAAATAAAAGACATAGCCGCCGTGACGTCACCATTGGTGTGTGGACTCCCGTCATCTTGGATTTCTGCAGCCAAAAGTGACTATAATTGGACGGGAGGGTGGAGATAACCCTAATGCTAGCTGCTAGCTTGGTTAGCACAGTGCGCTTACAGCCATGGTTATTTGTGATAAGGCTAATTTTTAGCTAGCAAAAAACAGTCTTAAAACCATTAAAACAAAATTCACTTACTGGAAAACTGATTATACGACTCCTTAGACGTTTTTTTAGTGCAACCAAATGCCGAACAAGACTTGTTTCAGTGATCAAAATGTTGCAGTTGATTTTCACGAACTGAAAACACAATGAGGCTACGTCTATAGACTCTTTTAGGCCCGATGTCACAATAACATCAGTTTGTTAGCTGGAGGCAAAGCACGACTCTCCCCCACAGGGCTGTAGGCTACATAGGAGTCTTAAAATGTGATCTAGAAGGAGTCATGGCTCAAAACCAGCCGCCACTGCCTGTCAACAAAGACAACTATGGTTAAATGTGATAAGACCAAAGGACTGGACGGAGGCCATCATCAAAAATGCTCACATGTGCAGCGCACACTTCATATCAGGTTAGGGAAAAAGTATTTCCTGATGTAGGGATGAATAACGTGATGTGTATTAAGGGTTATCATGTCCACCTCATCAGAAACTAGGGAGGGATTAAGAGGAATATTGGATTTCTCTGGAACGCTAACTTTTTAGCACATTAGCTAACGTTAGCTTCCATAGCAAACAAACTGGGGGAAACCGTTCAAGTGTCGTCCTCCTCCTGAGAGTGTGGTGCTCTGGATAACCCAACGCTACATTCAGACAATGCTCCGAATTTACGAACAGTCCAGTTTGTGCCAGAGTGCGCTTCGAAACTAGGAATGAGTATTTCTGAACGCACCACTCACATCATCTTCCTCCATTGTCTAAAACAAGCCAGCAGGCCTCTCTAGCTAGCACTAGCTAATGTCTGTGGAGAATTGTTTTGCCTCCAGCTAAGCCCCGCCCACCACAAACGGCATACAGTTTCCGAACAGTAAAAGGGTCTATAACAGAGTTCCCGTGGTCATGAAATTCCCGTAAACGAGCCAGTGAAGCTAGCAAGCATTAGCAGTTACAAATGGCTGTGTTGCTATATAGGCCGACCCATTTTACTCTACTTTAATAAAGTAATGGAAGAGCTATGGAAAAGTTATTAAAATATATTGGTAAAAATGTGCAGGAACCCTGCAATAAAGTTTGACAGTTCAATAACCAGCGCTAGTTGTAAGACATATCTAGTAAAACAGGATAAAATGACTTCCAGTTTTCGTTGGGTTTGTCTCCATTATAATTCTTTCGCGTAACGATAAGCTAACATAACAAGATAACAGCAGATTCATTGGCACAGTTAGTTTCTTTAAATTCATTTCTAAGACCAAAGCTCCATCGACTGCCCCCAGAGAGAAAACATGAAACTACAAAAACACTCCTTAGTTTTTCTATTGAGATTGTCACTTTAATGATTCGTGAAGAAGCTTTGACAGAACTAAATTGCACCTTAATGCTTTAATATATCCAAAAGGGATTTAAGAGGATTTAATTATAAGCTAAAGTACCCTTCTTTGAACAAGTGCTCCTAAATGGCTTAATCAGAAATGAGATTTTGTGTGATGACATGAGACAGAGCAATAAACTGAACTACAGTGCCCTCTTTTTACTCTTCAGTTCAGATTGAGTCATTATTTTGTTTCATATTGGAATCCCTTAAAATTGTATTCAAGAAAAGAAAGCCTTAACGAAAGATCACGATTTTTTTGGACAAAATAGGCAATAACTTTTGACTAATGTCTTCTGAAGTGGGACTGTTTCATGTGCAGATGTTGGAGTACTTTCCCGCAGGTTGAGGACTGAGAGCAGCTGTCATCAAATAGTCGATTTGCTTTGTTTGTGCCACGGCTGTCGCGTAGCTAAATTTTTTCCTTGTGCCTGTCCACGACCATCTTTTAGCTTACCACTAATTTGAGATTGCACACGGATGTATATAGATATTTTATTGTCGATGCACTCTTCATGGCCCCAACAAGAACAAAAAAGACAGTAACAGCATCCGCGGTGGGGACGGAGGGGCTGGTATCAAGGTCTGATAAGATCAGCTTTTATGTCCATGTACCTTTTAATGGCTCTGAGGGGGAGGAAGTATTTTATCATGACTATTATGACTATTATTATTCTGATTATTAGTATGAGAAATTGAAAAAGTCTGCCTTTTTCATTAGAAAGAGGCTACTGAAGTGAAAGAATGTCTTTTGAGATATATTGTACTAAAGACGCAACACTTTTGTATATGTATTTATCGTTGTGTTCCTGTAGCCTCGTGGTGGTTGTGCTCTCATGGTTGAAGGGATTATACTTTTAAATTGTGACAGCCAGTTTCACAAATTGTGGATGTGCACTAAAGATTCAAACCTTTAAAATCTGATTTTATTTAAGGCGCTGTAAGAGCAGCTGGATTTAAATGTTAAACTGGCAGCATAGAGTTAAATTTAAGACATTTTTAAACTAAATTTGTAGTGCACACTATTAAATCATGCCCGTAAGCCCAGTCTTAAAAGATAATAACGTTTTGACTAGCTGGTTAACTTCTCATTCAGGACACAGTGACCTCTGCAGGTTCAAATGATAAAAGAACCAAGCAGACAGAAGCTAACGCACCTGAAACACATGACACTGTACATCACAGTGGGCAAAGGGAACTTCTTATTCAAGCAGGCACTAAGTGAGGCCAACATGTAGGCCTGTAATTTTGGGAGAAGTGCATATCAAACATGTTGGCTGCTACATATATAGCACTCAAACAGCAGCAACCTGCCCCGGAGAGACACACGCACCGAGACCCTAACACATCCTTGTCTAAGGTGAACTAACCGTAGTTGTCAGGTTTGGCTTGTGTAATAAACGCTCCTCAGTAATCTATCCAGGGAGCATTGTAGAGCTTCATCTACCACCACTGCACTCATGCAAGAGTAACACTAGCTAATAAACGCCTACTGTACCTGCAGAGCATGCTGAAAAACAACAATGGGATGTGTTAGGTAGACTTACTATGTCATTTGCAGAACCTCCTCATTGTTTTTTGTGTTGTTGTTTTTCTTTCATTTTTTTTTTTCATTAATTTGAATTTTATTTTTTGGTTTGGAAAAAAAAGTGTTTATTGTGATTACTTGTTAATTAGTGATGTGATTATTGAACATGAAATAAAATGGACTAAAACTCTCATTTGTCTTTGACTTTGTTGAAATGTTTAAGGAGGTGTTTTTAGTCGGTTAATTTGAGGTTTAAGTTGCACAGAGCTAAGTCCATATGAAACACATTGTCACTTTGACCTTGTCACATCTTAACCTTTAGTCATGGACTTTCTACGTCCACATACGACGTATAAGGTACCCTGGGTGTGTTGGTTGTTGTTCTGGGTAGTGATGGCCAAATGAAGCCTCATGAAGCATTTTCCTTATTTTCTGAGCCCACTAGATGGCGCTCATGGTTTAAAGAGAGAGGCTCAAAGAATGGCAATTTAGTGTGCTTTCAACCTTTTGTTGAACAAAAAGCACCATCTAGTGGGCTCAGAATATAAAGAAAATGCTTCATGAGGCTTCATTTGGCCATCACTAGTTCTGGGACAATGTGTCAAGTTCTGCCTGTTACATCAATGTCTTTCAAAATACACTTGTGTTTTCACAGGAAATTTAATGTTTCCATACAACTAAGTGGTGTTTTTTTTTTTTTTCATCAACAACAAACACATGGTTAGGTTTAGGAAAAAAGAACAGGGTTTGGCTTTAGAGTCCTACAGGATGCGAACACCGCTCTCTCTGGAGAAAGTCTGTGTTCTTTGGACCCATCCACCACTCCTGCTCGCCCCAGTGGGACTGTTGCCCCCTTAACATTCGTCCTTGTCCCACAGCGTTTACCTAGTGATGGCCAAATGAAGCCTCATGAAGCATTTTCTTTATTTTCTGAGCCCACTAGATGGCGCTCATGGTTTAAAGAGAGAGGCTCAAAGAAGGCATTGTAGTGAAGCTTCCAACCTTTTGTTGAACAAAAAGCGCCATCTTGTGGGCTCAGAAAATATAGAAAATGCTTCATGAAGCTTCATTTGGCCATCACTAAGACACGACGGGGTGCCGTTAAACTATAAAAGCAACCAGCTGCCTATCATGCCAGTGTTAACAGATGCCCATTTCATTGGTTTCTGACGCCACAAGTCACTGCCCAAGTGCCAGATTTTGACGACTTTGGAGTGATACCCGGCTCCCGTATGCTACTTTTAAAAGAATGATGAAGATACAAATTGTTCCACCTTTAAGGGGCGGTTCATTCCAAATTAAAAATACATAGATTGTTTTGGTATGAGGTGCCAAATTTTGGAGATATTGGCCGTAGAGATGTCTGCCATCTCCAGCATAATGGAACTAGATGGCACAAGGCTTGTGGTGCCAAAAAATAGATTTGAAAAACTCAACAGCAAGAAACCATGACCTGTTTACTCAAGATGATCCAATCAATCCAATCAATCAAGCACAGTCTTCTTGAGAGGTCTAATCAGCCGACAAGTGACAACACCTGTGTGATGATCCTGAGTGTGTTGGGTTTGAAAAAAGAAATATGAACATAGGGAATATTTCCTGTAAGACATGGCAGTGAACTAGCATACAGAAATCTGCCCAGAGGACACTGAGATGGAATGAAGCCATTGTCAACAGTTTGTAGTTGCACCCCTGCTTTTCCTGCTGTGTCATGATAAAATGTCTCCACAGATTAACGTCTTCTGACTTCATCAACAGGTCAGTAATGTCAGCAATTTATTATCCTTGGATTTTATTTTAACATAAAAAAGATACAAGAGCAATGTTTGGTTTTATATATGGTTAGGTTATATATAAGTCGTGGGACTAATGGTGTTCTGCTTCATCAGAAACAAAGACAGACACTGACCTCTAGGGGAAGTGTGAGGAATAGAGCTGCCATTCTTTGATCCTCTGCATGAGCAAATGTGTACATGCAACATGGTATCAGATGAACAAGACATTACAAGTTCACTCTCAAAATACTACATATTCAATACTTTTTTTTGTTTTTGTTTGTTTCTTTTCCCGGCTGTTGCATGTGAACGTGTCGTTTTGGTTCTTAGCAAGCTACTGTACATTTATTTTTCCTTTCAAACTTCTTTACCTTTGAAACCACCATGCAAACAGTTCCAGAATAAAACTATCACATTGTAATAAATGCAAGGACCATTATTCTATGCTCCCCTGTCTTGCTCCAGGTACAATATGTTGAAAACAAAGAAAACCATGACGCAAGGTGGCAATCTGAATCACTTTTACAAGCCTTCTCTCTCTGTGGGCCCCTCCACCCCATTGGCCCTGATGCAATCACACTGCCCGCATCGTCTATATTTAGCTGTGTCTCAATTCAGTGGCTGCAGCCTTTGAAGGGTGTATTTGAAGACTGATTGTCAGTCCTTCAACTGTGGCCAAGAAATGCGGCCTCCCAGAATTTGTAAGATGCAAGGATGAATCCTTCGTGGCCCAGCCTATCCCAAGGTGCATTGCGCACCAGTTATGATCATATATTAAGTTGAGTTAACTAACAGTTGTTAACTTGTTAACGGTTAACATTCCTATAGGCTAATTTTACCTGAAAACAGCCCGTCAGCCTGAAATATATCAAGCGGCGGTGTCTCCGGTGGTGAATCATCTCCTCAAGTATTAAATAAAAAATATATGCATATACTTACTAGCTTACTCCTTTCGTCAAGCGTCCTTGCGTCCTTCAAAGGCTGCAGCCCCTGAATTGAGACACAGAAACTGTCTGGGAAGACGGAGCAGCAGAGCGCTGAACAGAATGAATGTGAGATTCATTAAACCATTTGTTGATTAACATAGAAAAAGAATGCTCTGTTACTTTGAACAACAGGGCTCTAATTTTACTGTAGAGTGCCAGATTAGATTTAAGAAGCAACCCCTTGTCTGTATAAAAGTGTCACAGACGACCCTGCTCTCCCCTATGCTAGTTAATGGCGAGTGACAAATCATTTTTGATCCTATTTGAACGTGCCAAAAATCACATACATTATATTTGTACATTTAAAAAGTAATTTTGCAAGTCAAGAAAGTCGCAGTTTGTAAAGTTAAGTATAAGACTGAAAGTACGTCATTAGAAAGACTACACACTCAGAAGTCCAAACAGAAGAGAATTTTCATTTAAATTCCACTTTTAAAATCAAATGGCTTAAGAAATGTTTGGAGCAACGGAGTCACTGTGGTATTTTATTCCACACAATTTATTTAAAATGGTAGGTGGCTTAAAATTTTTACTAAGTTGCAATTTTACTGTCGCTAAATTAGCAGTTAAACTTTCAAAGTTTTATCAGCAGGCCTTATTGGCATGAAAATTGTGTTATGTGCATAACTTCTCTTCTCATAAGGAAATAATTTGGAACAATGGCAATATTACTGTCAAAAACAAGACTTTATATGAGGAAGGCTGGATTGAAAGGGGTATATTTTTTGTTGCAGATTTATTTGAAGATAATGGCAATCTTTATAGTTATGAAAATTTCTTAAAAACAAAATCCTTTCCAGTCAAATTCAAAGAATTTGCTTCTGTTGTAAAGGCCATTCCTCAGAATATGCTCGGGTTAATGAAGTGTCACTTAACTTATCAAAAGATTGAGGTTCAGACACCTTCTTTCACGATTAGAGGGATTGATATACTCGATAGAAAATTTACCAATAAGCATGTTAGGAATGCACTTCATAGTTACAATAAGATCTCCCCCAGAGGAAAGTTCTTCTGGAATTCACAATTAGTCAATATTAACTGGCGTAAAACATGGTTGTGCCCCTTTCAAGTCTGTATTTCAAATAAAATAAGAGAACTTAGTTCAAAATACTACACAACATTTATCCTTGTAACAACACAATTTCCAGGTTCACAGACTTGGATGATAAATGCACTTTTTGTGAGACTGAGTCAGAGACAATTGCACATTTATTCTGTATTTGCCCTGTGCCATCTGTCTTTTGGAGGGATTTTGAGAAATATATCTATGAAAAAAACTGGACATATCATCACAGTTGGTCTGAAGGATATTATTACAAGATTTGTATGAAATGATAAGTCTTTGTCCTTTGTAATTAATCTTATGCTACTTAGATAAAATGAAAATGTCCAAATCCCTGCCAAGTTTCCACATATTTCTGGTAGATTTTTATTTGTACATACTTTAAAACTAACACAAAATAAGAAAAGTGACTATATGCTGCAATACCTTAATGACTTGTCATTAACTGATCTCGAGTAAAAGGGAATTTACTGTGCCTTGTACCCTTTACTTCTCTTTTCTTTGTTTTGTTTTTATTTTCATTTTGCAATAATCCTGACAAGACTTGATGTACCCTACATTATATTGATGTAATTATGTGTTCTATTACGTGCCAAATGTCTGCATGTGCCGTACACATTGTTTGTATGACCTGAAATTTGAAATAAATACATAATAAAAAAAAACAAAACAGTCCAAACAGAAGAGAATAACTCAGATCTGGTCTGTGTGTGATTCCGCTGTTGGCCGCTGGGGGCAGCACCGCACTCTCCTCCTTCTACTCTGCTTAATGTCAGGCGAAGAAGACAGTTACTAAGGTAACGCAAACATTAACAATGAGCTGACTTGTAGCTAGCTAGCGTATAAACTTTGAGCGGCAGTTTACGTTTTCCTATCAAGTAAAGGAGCTAACTGAACAGCTGCTACGGTCGGAAATTGTAGAGAGATTTTCTGTCGACGAAAACGACCGAGAAGGAGTTCGGTTTAAGGTACGAAACATTAGCTAGCTTATCAGTGCTGCTTTGTGGTAACGAGCTAACGCTAAAGTTATTTTAACTTTGGCTAACGGTAATGGTGAAGTAACAATTTGGGTATCAGGGACCTACTCCAAAACGACCGAAGTGAGTTTAGCTATAGTTAACATTACGTTATTTCTCATAGATAACGTTAACTTAACGTCGTATAGCTAATGCTAATGCTAAAGCTGTCGGTTGGTCGGTAACGGTCATTGTAAAATCATTACATCGACATATACATAAACGTGCAGGCAGCTAACGTTACTTCTATTTGTTCTTGATATTCAAAGTTGCATGGTCACCAAGCTGTTGGGAATTTATTAAATGGGCAACCTTGCTTTTGTTGTTGCTGCAGAGGATCACACTGACAGACCACATGAAGTCTGTCTGATAACCTCTCTGACTCTGCATCAGTGGTGCAAGTGTAAATGCTGTGTGACAGAGTTTAATCCAAAAGCCAGCCTCAAAACTTGGACACATGCAGCATCATTCAGTTGCCAGGACAGCTGTCATGAATTTACACAACTGCCCTTACAAAGAGTTAAGATTGTGAAAAGGTTTGTGCTCCTGAGTCCAGACAATTCTTCAGTAATATGGGATCTGTGCATCCAGAACAAACATAATTTATATACTGTGTTGCATGTAATATTTTTCTTACATTCTTACATGGAAAGCCCCAGCACTTTATTTCCCATCTTTCCCTCCTGCTCACACTGTGTTAGCTAGAGCAGGCATAGTCATCCATTTTAAAGCCTATCAGAGGCCTGTACTATGAAGCAGGATTTGGAGTTAGCGAGGTGACTTCAGGGTTAACTCCACCCTGGTAACTGATGCTGAACAGCTGACCTGAACAGGTTAACTTCAGAGTATCAGATCACAGCCTGTCAACAACCTGAACTCTGACCAATCATATCGCTGAAGAAAAAAGTATCCATGGACAAAATTCTCAGATTAAAAAAAAAAAGAGAAACCTATATATTGTCATAAGTCAGTAGTAAAAGTAGGTCATTTTATTGTTTCAGGGTTTCATATCCACTGGTTTTCAAACTGAGCTTCCAACAAACACAGAGATCATCTACACACTAAACACCTGACTTTAGCAGCATTTTAACTTGTGCAAAGTTTATTTTATTCCGCAGTGACAGTGTTGATATTTTACACTCTGATTCCATCAGTGCAACTCAAAAAAATGAGACACCTGTGTCGTGAGAACTGGGGGGAAAAAGCTAATATTTTATTATAGAAATGTTGATTGGCTTCCATTATTATAATTGCAAGATTTTAGTCAGATAGACCTCATCAGTCATTAACTAGGCGACTTTTCCACCCTTTAATTTAGTAACAGAAACAGTCTGGCATCACTTCTCAGTGTTTTATGTGACATATTCATCATCATCCAACTAAACAGCAAAAAATACTGTACACTAATGTCAGATATAGCCTAATGATACCGACACATAATTTAACTTTCGGTCGACGGTGAATTTTTGGATAGTATTCTCAATATTCCACATTTATGTTATGAGATTACAGAGTATCATTTACATCCCACGCCACTGACATTTTACTGTCTCACAGTCCCAGGCGCTTTCAGTACCGTTCGATCTCATAACATATGAAGTAGCCTGCTTCATTCATGGTTCAGTTGATGTCGCTTGTAATTAACACCCTAACCTCTTCACTTGAACACGCCCATGGCTGAATAGGAAAACCCAGATTTGCCTGAACTAGCTGATAACCAGCTTTGTAGCGCTGTTTACCCAGATGGCCAATGTTAGGATTAGTCAAGCCGGATAACAAAAAGATATCCTGGGTAAGTTGAACTTGCATCGCAGTATAAGCCTCAGGTGTGGGCAGAGTAGGGAGGGATGGAAGAAATACACAAATGTCTGCATCAGGATTCAAGTCTGACAAGCACTGAGCTGAAGCAGCACTTCTGGGCTTTATGAGTGTGTTTCCACCCATCGTAGACAAATATTTGATTATTGTTACTGTTAATATGTCCACTGGCTTTAGGCATCATGGCGAGTCAGCGGCCTCCCTCCAGCATTGGCCGCCCGATGAGCCGCAGTGGATCTGCAGCCCCTGGTGCTGGAAGACCACCAACAGCCGTCCGACCTCCTCCTACAGCTATCCGTGTCACCACTGGGGTAAGTCAGCTGTGGCTTGGATGCATTTTGGCTTTGAGATACAAGTGCTCTTCCTGGGAGTATATTGGGTACTTCACAGCATCATATCAACCAGAGTAGGGAAGGTACAAAAGCCCAAAAGTATCTCAGCTTTTAATGACCATTTTTATACTTACATGTCTCACATATTTTGCATTTATGATCTGGATGTAATTAGCACCTGATTTACGAAGGCAGCATTTTAATTTCACAATCAGCTGTAACTTTAAACATCAATGTTTCCTACAAATGAGTTAGTAGAATCCGCATTTTATGGAGTTTTATTCTTTCATTTTTAACCCAGATGGTTCCAGGTACGAGTGGTCATCCTGGCATGAGGGGCGGCATCCCCATCGCCACCCCCGGAGTCCTGTCAGCACAGATCAAAGTGACTGACAGGCCTGTGACCCAACAGGGGCTCAGTGGTATGAAGACTGGCATGAAAGGTAACTCTGCAGTGACATCAGCTGACACTTTATACATACATAGATTTGTATTTTTACAGTTTAATGTTAAGGCAGCCATGCTGAAACAGGCATTATATCATTACAAGTCTAACCTCTCCTTCTCTCTCCATCTCTAAAAGGACCTCAGAGACAGATTTTGGATAAGTCCTACTACCTGGGCCTTCTTAGGTAATACAACTATTTCTCCTACTGTCACCAACATAATTGGTCATGCCCTTATTGGTATTACCTTTACCTTTTCTTTAACATCCTATCGATATACACTGGTCACTTTTACCATTTCAAAGTGAATGTTTTGTTGTTGCTGTTAGGAGCAAAATCAACGAGTTAACCACAGAGACGAGCAAACTGCACAAAGAGATCGACAACTACCGTCAGGAGAATTCTGTTTATCTTTCCTATGAGAAGAGGTGAGTGGTGTTTTTACTTGTCAGTGCATACTGTACATTTTGTAATTGGAAAAAAAAAACAGACAGTCTCCTGTGTTATTAAGGTCCACTACATTCCACAGCCTTCTAGTATTCATAAAAATAAGAAAATACACTCACTGACCATACACAGGGACGTGTCTGTAGACTGCACTGAACCATGAAAGCTAGAAATTATAATCTAAAGATAAAACAAATAACTATGCAATTATAATGCATGCTGTGTGAGGAAATAAGATCTATGTGAGAACACAGAGAAACAGAACTCCCTTCTCCGGTCAGGAAATGTCAAGCTAAAAACACGCTGCACACACTAGACGCGTGTCGTGCTGCAGCAGCAACAGATGACCACGCAGAGTTATTACTAGTTTTACTGAAAGATCTGTACTTCCTCCACCTCTGCATTATCTAAAATCACATGGGGACAGCCCCCAATTAAACTTGATTTCTCACCTGAAGAGCAGATCTGTCCAGGAAGTATCTTAATGGCTGTTGTTTTTATATTGACGGGATTGTGGGTTGTTTAGCTTGGGATGTCTCTCAACCTCAACAACGAGTGTCTCCTCATCCATTCTTCATCACACATGAGACAGCAACAGTATGTATGCAGTATGTATGTATGTCTGTATGCATCCATGGTGAGGAGAAGAGTCGAGCTGCCATAGGAGCAGAGAAAAAGAGCTGCTTTAGGAGCTGGTATGTACAAGCAGAGAGTCTGTGGAGGAAAATTAATTTAATTCCAGGGACGGTGAGGCTGGAAATAGGACAGTGGTGTGAAGTGTCGCAGGGCAGCATGTCAAGGAGTGTTAACGTGTGTCTAGTCACCACTGGTGTGGGGTTGTACATCAAAAATAAACAGGGCACATTTTTTGACATGCAGTGTTTGCCGCCGGTGTGTTTGGGCCTTGAGACAAATGGATCTGAAACCCAGTCTGTTTGCGCTGTAATCCCATATGACTACGAGGGCTCTTGAAATAGATTGACCAATAGAAAAGATTAATATTATAATGAACAACTGCATAAAAATGTAAATAAAAAATTCCTTAATTTCCATCCCTTTGTTGTTTTCTTTCCGCTCTCAGAGCTGAAGGCCTGGCTGGAGAGATTAAGGATCTACAAGGGCAGCTCGCTGACTACAACATGGTAAATAACTGTAAAGAAGAAGTCTTAGTCATTGTCCATAATTACGTTCAGTGAGTAACCACTGGAAAATAATCTTCAGTTCCTACATCCTGGATATTAGAAGCAACAAACTGAACAAGTATCAGAACAATATCAGAATGTAAATTGGGGGAAAAGGTAAAGCAATTAAAATTTGGTCACAAACAATAAACAATATCAGAATATTTTTACACTTTGTGTATTAAGCTGAAGTCATCCACAGTGACTTCTAGTGAGTGAGTGTAAAAATGGAGAATGATTAGCTCAAACAAATGACAGGTGGGAAAGAAATCCTCCAGCTCAGCAGCTGAATGATGGTAAAGTATATTTGGTCAGTTTAGTTTGATCGATTAGACATAATTTGAATGTTAGCGGTGTACTTTAAAGGCTTAAGTGTCTGATATAATACAAGGTGCCCCGATTTAACACTTAATGAATCACACTGATATAGTGTTGTTTTTGGCGGCCTGTTTTAATTTTAGTTTTAGTCTAGTCTTTGTGTCAAACTGTCATTTTAGTTTTTATTAGTTTTAGTCA